CAGATTATATTCTTTCCCCATTCAGCTGTTTTTTATGTATTTGAATATTGTGAACATTCCTAGTTCTCCAGAGTACATGGGATTTGTTTCTTCCACCCCAGAGTACAACACGGAGCTGTTCAAAGCAGTAAATTTCCCTTATTAAAATCCTGTGGGGTCTTCAATATGAAAGAGAAATTGTCACTTGATATAAGTGAAAACATTTGGCRAGGGAAGCTCTCAAATAAATAATAAAAAACCCTCACAGGAATTTGGAAGAAAAGGTCCTTAAAAGGTTTCCAACTGGTACTTTGTCTGAGAGGAGAGACAGAGCCTTTTTCTGGGAGGTAGAACTGTTACTTGATGTGTTCAATAGCCCTTTTGAATGAGCCTGCATTGCATTGTGCAGATGCTCAGGGATGTAAATGTTGTGGCAGGCTGCCACTAGCAGCACATCCTGGATCAAATCCCACAGGGATGAGTGCCCATTCAGCCTGTTCCATGAGCAGGACCAGCACCACAGAGCATCTGAGCATCTCCCTTCACCTGGGATAGTGGAARGTGTCCTCCCCATGGCAGGGGACTGGRAACCAGGTGATCTTTGTGGCCCCTTCCAAYCCAAATCATTCTGTGACTCCATGATCCTGCTTGTCTGCTGGGAAATTTGGATATTTAAAATCTCAGCGGGTGCTGTGCAAGAACAAGAACTCCCTGAAGGTTTTTAATCTCATCTGAATTTCAGGTGTCTGACTTGGACCATTTAAGTCATCCTTTGAATAGGATTTTTTTTGGCTTGCTTTAGGCTGGATATTTGGGAAAGGTTCTTCACCCAGGGGGTTGTGGGGTGCTGGAACAGGCTCCCCATGGCAGTGGTCACTGCACCAAGCCTGACAACTCAAGAAGTGTTTGGCCAATGCTCCAGGCACAGGGTGGGATTGTTGAGGTTGTCTCATATAAGGCCAGGAATTGAACTTTGATGATTCTGGTGSATCCTTTCCAGCTCAGGACATTCAGTGATTCTCTGACACCGCAGCCCTGCTGCCACTCTCAAGTGTCACCTGGCTCAGAGGTGGAACCACCTCCAGTCAGAATCTGTTGCTGGATTTTGGAGGGGCCAAAATCAATCCCAGATCKCTGGGAWAGCAGTGRAATTTMYTTCTCCACTGTTCAGGACTCAGCMTTATGCTGGCACACCTGTTTCACTRTCCAGGYMAGAGGTTTCAAAGGATGCAGCATCTTTTTGTGATTTGGGTGTCAATACCAATTAACCAAGTGAGCTTTAGAAGGAGAAAGTAACTTTTTCAGGAATAACTTCAGGGAAGAGCCCTAGGGCTGCTGGATTTGTGTGTGGGTAAGGCACCTCTCCCTTCAGGGGATTATTCCAAAGGAAGAAAACCCAGGATGGAGTAGAGGAGAGGTAAAGGGTGCGAGGAAGCCAATGCTGTAAAAAGTGCTTGTAAAAAGAGCCAGTATTGATACAGATGACAAGGCAGCACGGCAGAGAGGAAAGCAGGGCTGAGACTGACAGCCGTGGGAAGAAGGAAATAAAAGAAATTCTTCATTCTATTGCCTGGCTTTTCCTGCCTGTGAGTTAGGAGCCTGGATCTGAATTAAATACCAAGGGAGTGCGAGCTGCGTGGGGGGAAGAATCTGATCACTGTGAACCACTGCTGTGCAGAAACAATGGGCAAGGGATCTGAAACCAGGGAATTTCCCCCCTCCCCGCTCTTTCAAACGCATTTCAGAGGATTTTCCTGCTGTAATGTCACCTGGAGCCTCTTTGGGTGCTGTTGCTGTTGTTCCCAGTGTGGCTTGTGGTCCTTGGTTTGGTTTCCAGTGGATTTTACACTGACAGAGGAATTGGAGTACAGTGGTRTGTGCTGCTCGTGTGATGCTGCTGATTGCAGTCCAGCCACTGTGCTACTGTTAACAGTACGGCTGGGGACTCTGTTTGAAGTGTTAATTAGCAGCAATTAATAAGAAGTGAAAAATTAATACCCTGTGTCAGCTTTCTTTGCTAGTTAGTTATATCAACACTAAAGCTCAGAGCTATTTTTGGAGCTGTTGTTTGCATAAGAGTTTTTTGTCTTGTTCTCACGTGGTGTTGGGAAAATACTGAAGTGCTCTCCTACCCTAACTTATAAACTAGTTATTCCCAAAATAAGAAGTCTCTTCCCATAAATAAGCTATGGAATCTCATAGGTCCAATTTATTGGGATGTGAATGCTCTTGACATGACATTTTAAAAACAGGAAGTTTTCCATAGCTTAAGCAAAAAAGACAGTAAAATAGAGTTTAAAACCCCCAGAATGTTGATAATGTTGCTGAATATGCCTCAGAGATTCTGCTTTTCCCCCTTTTGACTGAAGTGGGCTCAAACCCAACCCCAGATGGGGCTACTGAGGATGGATAGGAGTTGTGTTGCAGACACCTTGAGCAGGTTCCTGCTGCTTTGCCCAACCATTTTCCATTTCTGATGGGAAATTCCCTGGTCTAGTGGCAGATTTGGGACTTGRCTGTGCATGAAAAAGCAAATACTGTAGTTGTCTGATTGGGCACCTTCAGCTTTTTGTCAGCTCATAACTTTGTTTTATCAGCATCTAGAAGCATCATGAGATTTAACTGCAATAGCAAGAGGATTATGTTTCTTCTTGGTATTTATATTGTTACCCCTGAGCTCTCTTTAAGATGATGGATTTGTTGTGTTTAAATTGATCTGTTTCTCTCCATTCTTTGAAATTTTTTTTTGGTAGACCTTCCATCATTGTCTGGTCCCAGGAAAAAATGAAAACAGCCACATCCACCCAAGGTTTAGCTTCAGCTGGCATCTCCCCTCCTCTCACATTTAACAAACCTGATGTAAAATCCTGATACTTAACTAATTTATTATTAATGATATTTACGGAAGTGTTCTCTACCAAAGGAGGAGTGGGATTTTTTTTTTTTTTGACTTTCAGTAAACTGATTGCTCCTAGTTTCATGGTTAATTGAAACTTAATATACACTGGGGATGAGTGATGTGTATATTCTGAGGTTAGCTGCACTCAGAGTACTCGGAGTCTATAATACACTTAATTCATTASCAAGTCTCATGTCAACAAAGAATAAAGATGAAGTGCTGCAGTGGCCATGGCACTGGAAAAGGGTTGTGTTTGTGGAGTGCTTAAAGTCTGCTGAGCACTTTRTGAAGAGATCCACAGCCACATTGCTCTGAGCTGGTTTATGATCTTAATTTTAATTTTTTTTCTCTTTTCTTGCATTAGCAGATTCCTTTGGGGTGGGGAGCACAAATTTCTAGCTTTGCCTGTGCAGCCTTCTGTTGGGCCTTGGTTATTTGCCTCCACTGGTGATGTTTTTGTGAAATACACGTGTTTTTTTCTGGTTTTAATTGCAGCTGTGATTGCTCCAGCAGACAGTCTCACCATGGCCCAGCTAATGGATATCAGACACTCAAGATGCTCTTCATCTTTTTCAGTTCTACTCTAAGTGCTCAAACATATCCATTTTTTTCTTACAAATTGCCATTGGAGCAGCCTGAAAAACTGGCAGTGAGAAATCCATGGCAGAACACTCTCCTCCTTTTTATTTTATAACCATCATATCTAGTCTTCTAGAATATGCCTCCAGAGTAGTAAAAGTTGAAAAAATCCCATATATTTTTACAATCTTATTACATCCTGCTTTGCCTGGCCTCTGGCAGTAAACTTCTTTCCTCCTTTTAGTCACACTTCTTTCCGAGCATTGGGCACAGTCCTCTSTGTCACACAGGATTTGGAGGCTCCTCTAACAAGCAGGACCATTCCTCCCCATCAGATATTCTGGACACACACCTTCCCTACTGCCTGTCTTTGCTTTAGCATATCTTGTGTGGATATGCTTCCCTCTGTGCCCATAACCCCAGCTCCTGGTTTCTCTTTTTCAGTCGTCCTTTGACATCTCGTAATTCATYGGCATCTCAGAGTTTTGCAGAAAAGCTCACTTTGGATTTGTTTTTAATCTACTCCTGAAGGTGTATCTGGGGGTATTGCATGCCTGGTGGCTCACTGTGGCTGRAAATACAGTTCTCATTTAGTCTGATGTCTGAGGCAAGATCTGGTCAGCCTGGATGCCCTTTGTCATAATAATTTTTCATTTCTGTGTGTTTTTATTCCACTTTGAATTTACTATGGTYGTTCCTTGCAGAAGAATCTCCCTTGCCAGCATAACCCAATTTAAAATGAGTTAGTATTTGCTACGCTGCAYGTTAAAACTGGTACAGTTACCTTAGGTCAGTCCTCATTCAATAAACAGTTGCAGCCAGCACTGTTTCATGAGGATATCTGCATTTTGCATGCTCAGTTTTATTTTCTGGAGTTACTCCGGTCTTTCTCWCATTGGTATTTTCACTTCAGTGTTTCCTCTGTTTCATTATCACAAATCTCCCCTTTGGAAGTTWGAGTATTTATRGAGTGAGRTAYATCTCACACAGTGTTACCCATTAWGGGCTGGACTTGCTGGAGGATGATGGGGTTGACGTTTCTTGCCTTTTTTTTTGTTGTTGTTTTTATGGGTTTTTTTTKTKTKTTTTTTTTTTGTTTGTTTGTTTTTTTTTAATTTTTAAAAATTTTTTTAGTTTTTGCATTTTTTTAGTGTGCCTCGTGCTGCCCTATGGGCTGGTCCTTCTCTCTATGTTGGTGGCATTGGGAGCTGAAGGGAACTTTGAGAAGTGAAGCCTGTGGATGCTGTTTATTACCCAGTTATTTTCTCTGTTGTCATTATTGTTGCTTTATGCTGTTATTGCCACTAAGGTCCTTTATTGTGGCTTTCATTCACTTCCAGCTCCAGCTTGGACACRAGAGCAGGATGGAAGGGTTACCATCAGAGAGTTATGGGATTATTTAGGCTGGAAAAGAYCTCTGAGRTCTTTGATTCCAACTGCACCAARATGGGATGACATGAAAACCATTGGGAAAGGGTGTGGGAATGGGTTTGTAGGTGGAACAAAGCACTCATTGCTTTTTTTTAACTTTTCTTTTAGCTTGTCCTCGTTGCTGCAGGATGAATTAGGAAGGCAGAGCCTTTTCCTCTGAGCCATGGAGACGAGGGCATCTTTCATTGCCAGCATGAGAGACACCCAGAGCCTCTCCCCGGAGAAGGATCCCAGCCCRGCCAACGGTGATGGGGAGCAGTTTGATTCAGGTGGGCTCCCCTCCATCCCCCCGAGTCCTTTGTCAYTGTCACAGCTYCTACAGGCAGAGCTGGGAGCCTGGRAGGAGCTGGGAATGGTTGCACAGCTCCAAGGCCTTTTTTGAGTCTTTGAGGATTTGCCTGTGTCTTGTGATGATTGATGGGAAACTTTCCTTTTGCTGGATCTCTTTGGCAATATGTGTATCAGCTGGTTATTTAAATTTAAACAGAAAGCCATGTGAAACCTTTCTGAAGGCTTAATATTGTGTTCTCCCATCTTCCCCACCGTTTTTTATTCTGTTAAGTTTTGTGGTTAGACGAAATGAACATTTTGAAATTACAGCATTTCTGCTTTGTTTTCTTTTCTTCCTTATTTCCTTCGCTGTTTTTTGGAGTGTTTCAGGTGAGGGGTCTTCACAAACTCTAGAGCAGCCACAGGAGAGCTGGTCATGTGTTACTCTTGTGCTCATGACTGGGTGCTTTGTAATTCTGTGGGATGGGCTCTTGAGGGTGAGGATTTGCTGTGCTAAATTTGAGCATTCTGTGGTAGAAACACAAAAGTAGATTCTCCATTCTGGTGATTTTCTGATGGAATTAGGTGCTTTAACTTCCCACATCTGCCCCCAACAGGAGATGGTGAAGAAGTCCATTGTGGCTAGACCTGACCTTCTTTTTGGTGCCAAAATATGAGATCCTKTTTACACCAGCTTTTCCCCACTTCTCCTTCAGCATGTCAGAAATTTGGCCACCCAGCTTTTAGCTTCTTCTTGTAGCGGCTCAGTGATTTTCCTATTTCCTTGGACACCRAATCCTTGGATTTTCCAGAGTGGACACATCTGGGCTGACCCAGTCACCCCAGGATTTATTTTTATCTGTGGGAGAGAGATGGAAATTTCTAAGATGAGCTTCAGTTGGCCAACCCTTGGCATTGGTTTGGGAATGAGAAGAACTGTCCTGCAATGTCTGAATTTCTGTGGGTATGAGGATTTTGATAACTCTCCCAAGGCCATGCCAGGGGTTTGTGGTTGATCAGGTGTTTGTGTGTCTCCCTTTCCCCACACCTGGAGTGTGAGCATTTCAGTGCTCTATTTACTCCAAAAGTCATGTAGGTGTATTTTGGTGCTCTAAATAAGATGTCTAAGCAATTTGCCTTAAATACTTTCTCCTGCAGTAAAGCCTGGGAAAAAAAAAACAAACCAAAAAAAACCTGTGTTTCTGGAGCAATGGGATTTGGATTTTTTATCCCCTTTATTTTCCACAGCCAAACATCCCAGGGGGCTGTTAACAGCTGGAACAGTTGCATTTTTATGGTGTCAATGCATGAGCACTTTAAAGCCATTGAGAGGCTCACAGATAATGACTTGTTGATTTTATTTGCCATCCTGGGCTTGTTTATACATCACCGTATTGTAAACCAGCCAGCCTTGACTCTTTCATTAGGGAAAGGCTCTGGACCTAAGTGCCAATAATTGGAAAGGGAGCTGATATGTAAAATGGGTTTAATGGCAGATTTATCACCTTTCAGGGTGTCCTGTGCTCCTCAGCAGTTGGGCTTTGCTGATGGATGAGGAGATTTGTGTGCAGTCCTGTGGWGTTGGCTCCTTTTTGGGCTGGTCCCATCCCTGTGCCATGCTGTGTCTGCTCAGGATGCCCCCCTGCCAGAACTCCAGCAGAGAACAAAATCCATTAAAAAAACCATTCTGGAAACATACAGTCCYTTCAAAATCCGTTGTGATGAAATGAAGCAAAAATAAACCAGTGATGCTGTGATAAATGAGTACTCTGACGTTATTTTTACAGACCTTGTAAAAGTAATTTCCTGATAAAGTCTGCAGATAAAACATGGCAGAGGAGCCAGGCTGGTGATGTGTCAGAGAGGAATGAGCTGACAGGGAGGGAAGGCTGCGGCTCTCACTCTGCCTCACCTCCAGGCCTTGAAGCCTCTTTATTTGGGYTTAGAAAGGAGAGATCTGGGTGATATTTTATGAAACAGGTGCTGCTGTGAGTTTTGCTGGGTGGCAGAGAGTGTCTGTGCTGGCCTGTGCCAGGGTAGGTCAGGGTTAATCAGGTTATGAAGCACAGCAGGACTTGATGCATCCATAACTGGCATCTATTTATATTTATTAAAAAAAACTTTTTGGGGAAGGCTTTGACCCCCCTGGAGACATTGCTCCTTGCAAGGRCTGAAGATTATTTACTGAACTGACTAAAAACCTGTACTCCCACTGCTTTGTGGAATGAATCCTTCCTGTAAGACTGATGAGGAATGCTGGAGAAAGGGAGACAACGTCCTGGAGGAGACAWTTGCCTTGACTCACATGGGAGATCAGAGCAAAAACAGGAATAAAAGCTGAGAGTACCCAGAGAGCATCCTGAGCTGAGGGAAGTGGCTTGTGTTCTGGAATGGAARTGTCTGAGCAGGAGAGGAGAGCCCAGGGCTGACCTGGCAGTCACAGAATCACAGAATTATTTGGGTTGGGAAACACCTCTAAGATCCCAGCCATTCCACTAGAACTGCCAAGGCCACCACTAATCTGTGTCCCCAAGTGCCACATCTGCACATCCTTTAGTGACTCCACCACTGCCCTGGGCAGCCTGTTCCAAGTGTCCTGTCCATGTCCTGGGGTGGAGATGCCCTTGGGGTTGTTGGACCAGCCCATCCCAACCCCACAGACACAGATGGAGCACTGAGGCCGAGGGGATGATGCATTTTAAGCTTTTCATGTCGGGTGCTTTTGCCTTTTGGTGGCTGGAGGTTGGTTGTGCTCAGGGTAAGAATTTGCTTAAGCGTATTTTAAGCCTGGGATGCATTATCATATCTGCCCTTCTACTCATGGACAAACATACTTGGTTTTGGAGGCTCAGCCTTTGAAATCTCTGCACCCAGCCCTTCTCTATAACATTAACTCTGCAGGGTTGCAAGCATGAAGGCTGAAAAATATCCTGAAAAATATCCCTGCTCATCCAAATTGCCTGCCTGCATGATACAGAATTTTTCCCTCGAGCTCCAATCTTGTGCTTAAGTTGTGCCTTATCATTCAGTCAGGGTTGAACAAACCCCTCATTCTGGGTCAGATACCTCAAGTAGAGCCAGCTTCTGTGCCCGAAGATTTTTGCAGTGATTGCAAAAATCAAAACAAAGTCTGTTCTTTATTCTGCATTGAATTTGTCTATTTTTGGGTTCTAATCATGGAGTTGGGTTGTTTCTTGCTGAGTTGGAGAGTCACCTGATATCCTCTTTATCACTGGAGTAAATGTTGATTTGCATCTCCATGTTTAAGCAGATTATTTGATTTTAGGACAAGGAGTCAGACTTGATGCAGCAATCTGCAARTGTTTAACAGTGTTGACAGCTCAGCTTTAAACTCCCAGACAGATCTTTACCCTCCACCAGCTCTTCTGATCCCTTTTTTTCTCCTCACCTACGTGGGTCTGGTGCCACAGGCAGCAAATAAAAACTGTGTCTTCCCCTTTTAATAATGAGAGATTACCCTTGCWCAACATAATTTTCTGGTCCTGGAAACTGGAGACCTGTAGCAATAATTGCAATAAATTAACCCTGCCTTTTTCTTCATAAAACTGTCTGGGGAGGGTTCTTAATTCAGTTTGTCATGAGTCACTTTAATTACATCATGACCACGCTGATGAATGTTCGGGCAGGTAAAGGGTCTCGCAGAGTTTGCCTGATAAATGCTTATTGCAAAGAGCTCATTGCTGGACTGTAAATATTTTTGCTCTGGGGATGAAACTGGGCTTGCGAGATTGCTTGGGAACAAAATGAAAACAATCAGATTTGGCTGATTTTCTGTAAGTGAAAGAAGATTTATTTTTAATTATTGCTGTGTGCGTTCTGGTGATGGTTTGGGGCTTTGGCTSTGCTTGGTGTGGTTATAAAGAAAAAAAAGGAAGAGTGGTCATGTCAARTCCTTCCTTTGGGGAGGGATTGTGTGGGGCAGTGGTGTGGATAGGGCAGAGAGGGTGCAGAGCCCCAAATSTGAAGGGGAGGAGGGAGCAAGAARGCARTAGRRGTCTAATGAGGTGTGCTGGGGGATYTGGGGAARGCAGCTGTGCTTTTGGGGGAACGGGGAGGCATGGGGGGTTTGTCTGAGGTTTGTGGGTGCAGCAAAGCTGAGGTAGGAGTAAAAGGGTGGCAGGAGTGAGAATGGGTCTCCCTCACCCCAAGGGTTGGGGTGTTTGGTCTGGCACAGCTCAGCCAACAGAAGCATCTTCTGATTGATCCCTGGGGCACTGCTGTGATGAGCTGCGCTGGCTGAGCCACTCTGGGGACACAGGGACATTGCTCCTTAGTGACAGTGAGCAGGCAGCCTCCTCCCCGGCAGCCAGAGAGCCATCAGATGCAAAATAAAAGAGCACAAGTGCCTGTTGCAGTGTATGACAGCTTTTGTTCCCCCTCTGCCAYGGAAGCAGAGTCATTTCTGGTCTCAGTGTTGGCTGCTAAAGCCCCAGAGTCTGCTGAAAGCACAGTAAGAGCTGGTCAAAACACAGATCCTTGAAGCAAGCTTTCTGTTTTCCCTTCTGTTGATGTTTACACTGGTTGCTATTCTCACCCTGAACTCTTTGACACAACTTTTGCCTTCTTTGGCTGTGTTTTAGGCTGCTTTTCTTTCTCTCATTTTTTTATTTTTTTATTTTTTTTTATTGCTTTTGAGCAGATGAGGGCTCCAGCATTGAGGACGCAGACTTCAACTGGGACGAGTTCCTGGAGGAAACAGGAGCCAGCGCTGCTCCCCACACYTCCTTCAAACACGTACGTGCTTCCTCTGAGCCTCCTGGGTGCTGTGCACGTCCCTCTTCTGGTTTTCAGGGGCTGACWGGACCATTTTGGGGTGAAATCATCCCTCCACACAGGGATGTGACAGCCTGAGTGGGAATAACCCCCAAGCTGGTGTTGGGTGTGCTTGGGGTGTTTGCAGTCACAGCTTGGAGCTCTGTGCCGCTCCCTGATCCTCTGCCTTTGGTTCAAATGTTCCATTTTTGATGGTTTGTGCTGCTCTCCTTTTGCCTAAAATGCACTTTCTTTTCACCTGTTTTCCCCTCTTACATTCCCTGTTCTCCATGCCAGCCTGCAGAGGTGTATCTTACCCCTCCAAAACTCCTTATAAATTCATGATTTACTGACCAGAAGGGTCCCTCCAATGCTGAATCCACTGTGGCCCATTGGGAACCATCTCTGCTGTCCCAGAAGTGTGGGAAGCAGGGGCTGGGGCGGGTGGTGCTTTTCCTGGGTGAATGTGGAGCACACAGGCAGCTGTSGTGGTGACAGGTCTGTGTCAGCATTTGAAGGGACCTCTGTATTTATCTGGTCCRACCTCCTTTGTCTCCAAGTAATTTTGTTGCTTGTTCTGTAGGGTTTAGGAGCTGCAGGGATGAAAATCCTCTCTTACCTAGATTTGAAAATTTAGTCCAGTCMTCCATTCCCTGTTCTGCTTTCATTTAAAATGTGGAGTATTGYAGGGTGAAGGAGCATAATTCTCTGTACTGGAGAATTACAGGGCAGTGTTTATTGCAGAGTTAATTCTTTATCCAGCAGCTGTCTGGAGAGATCATCCTGCCCCAGATTTCTGCTCCAGGCCCACAGKAGAAAGTTTTGTGCTTCATGAAGCCCTTAAGGATGTCTTCAGTTGTGAGGAGATGCTCAGCTCATCCTGCTGACTGCAGTGTCTCACAACTCCTTAGTGCTGGGACTGTCACTGAGGGACACATTGGTGCTGGGAACAGTCCTTGGGGACTCTGCTTCACAATCTAAAAYTTGGCCCTTAAAAATCTGGCTAGGAACCTGAAAGCTGTCAGAAGATTATATAATATCTGCCTGATTCTGCTCTGGGTGTGATTTCCAGCCACAAGTTCCTTTGCCTCCAGAGCACTGTGTTGGTTTACAGTGAGTGCAAGGAGAAAACCTACAAATGAATTGCTCTCTGCAGTCATCAGGCTCAGGTGCTTGGAGCTGGAGCTGCCAGTCTGTACTGGGAGGAGGTCCAGTTTATACTGGGACAGAAGCCAGGAGGTCCAGTTTATACTGGGAGAGAGGCCAGGAGGTCCAGTTTGTACTGGGAGAGAGGCCAGGAGGTCCAGTTTATACTGGGAGAGAGGCCAGGAGGTCCAGTTTGTACTGGGACAGGGGCCAGGCTGTACCCTGGGTTATTTCTCGGGACTCAGAGCATCAGTAAGGTCCTGTCTTAGCACTGAGTAAGTCAGTGAATGTCACAGACCACCTTCAGCCTCAGAGCATCTCCAGAGGTGCCTCTCAGCTGTTCTGTGGCTCTGGGCAGTGATTCTGCTGGAATCCATACAGGGAAAGGCACATGGGTTGCTGCCACCTGCAAATGGGAAATGGGTTTGGCTGGGCAGCCTTGGGCTCAGGAGCTGGAGTTGGATGTGTGAGGATTACTGCTCATGTGCCAGAGGAGTGTTTTCTCAGCAGCTTGGCATCCCCATGTCTGTGAAATCCTCAGCTGACCAGGCAGACCGTGTTACATTTATCTTTCTGAGTAAAAGAGTCATTTTAACCTGCCATTTAAATGAGAAATTAATCAGAGRCAGGCTTACCCAGATTTATAATCCCTCTGGTCCTAGTAGCAGATAAGGTTCCACTAAACCTGTAAGAACCTGTCYTTAACCATCTCATGGGGAGTGAGAGGTTACATTTTGGATGGTTTTGTGAAGGCTTCACAATGAACTGGGATCCACCTCTCCTTTATCAGCAACAGCTGCAATAATCCCACTGCTCCTTGGAACACAGGTTATGCTGCAGCAAKCCCTGGTGTTCATCAGCAGTGTCCCAAAAGAGATGCCCTGGCATCTCCAGTGTCCTAAGGCAAGTTACCTGTGTCATCCAGARATAAATGATGTGACATTTCCATCAGAGGGCAGGACAGTGACTCAGGCAGTTCACTTCTTTCAGTGAWAGGTCATACCTCAGTTACCAGAGTKCTGGGAGGGGAAATTGGTTGAGGCTTGAGCTGCTGAGGATGATTTCAGTGAAATTTTTCTCCTTGGCTTGCCTGGTACATCGAGGCCTTGATGCTTATGGGAATAATTATTTATTGTAGTTGGGCTTGACTCCTAGAGGTGCTTCATGCCTGACCTTCTGCCTTGCATATGTCCTGTGAAATGAAATTCYATTTGAGTTATGCTGGCTGTCTCCTGGGCATTAGTGAGATTTAGAGGGTGAAGGTGGGTGCCAGTCCTCTCCTAGGTTTGGTAATCCTGAAGTCCCTGCTCCTCTTTGGAAGATGTTGAGCTTGCACGATGGGATATGTGCCAGAGAAGCAGGAATGGAGCTGCCCAGACAGATCCTGAGGGAGATGGTTGGGTCAAGAAGCACAATCAGCTCGTGTCCATCCCAGGGCAAGCAGGAAATGACATTCTTCCCGCGAAGAACGAAAAGTAACACCGTGCCTTTCTCATTCTGTAAGGTTGAAATCAGCCTTCAAAGCAGTTTCCAGCCAGGGATGAAATTAGAAGTGGCCAACAAGAGCAATCCAGACACGTACTGGGTGGCTACCATCATCACCACCTGCGGGCAGCTSCTGCTGCTCCGCTACTGCGGCTACGGGGACGACCGCAGGGCAGACTTCTGGTGTGAYGTGATGACAGCAGACCTGCACCCCGTGGGCTGGTGCACGCAGAACAACAAGGTCCTGATGCCTCCAGATGGTGAGTTCTGCCTGTTTTTGTTGGGGTTGGGCTGTGGGTTAATGCCMGGGTTGCTGGTTGGTTTGGGATGGGCGCTCTGGGTGCTCAGCTGGTGATGGGTGATGCTCAGCTGGTCCCCATGGGTCACTGGGTGGTTCAGTTTGCCAGTCAGCCTCCAGAAAAGGCACTTTTGCCCTAGTTGATAATGACAGAAGGCACTTCATAGGGAGCTGTCTTCTTACTGCTGAGCTGTAATGCTGCGATTTTCACTTTGGGGWGAAAACCATCCTGTTCTTGTAGAATGGAGGGGTGAAATACAAGAGTGAGAAGAAACTAAAATAAGCAAGATCAGTTTGGGTGTAACCAAAATCAGAAATTGACTTTTTGCACTCGGAATTGTTTTGCCCTGAAAGTTTAAAACCTTCCACTGCCACATTCTGGCAGCTCTTAATCCCAGTGGCAGGTCCAGGTGATTGAAGATAGCAAAATTTGGTTGTTATTGATGAGGGTATGTCCTGATTTTCAGCTCTTAGGTGCACAAAAGCTGAATGCAAGTGTTGTAGGTTCCTGARTGGCCCATGTGGAGCAGTTTGTTAATAATAGAATTTGATCCCCAGTGTATGAGAGTACAAATATATATATATACTAAAAAAAAGCATATAGGCTATGTGCATCAGCAAAGCAGCTGTGTATCCTTGCTACTGCATAGCTCCAGGCAGAGTTATGTTGTCAGTGTTTCTCCTAAGTATTCCTGCCATATATCCCATTTATTCTGGATCAAGGGAAGAAGAGATGAGTATTTAGCCTCTAGCGTGTGCATGCATTTAGAAAAGGCTCATTTAAGAATTCTGCCACTGAAGTTACTCTTTTCCTTTCTGCTGCATCTGACCATTGAAAACAGTGCATGTGTGATTTCTCCTGGAGAAGTGTTCCCTGATTTCTCCCTGAAGTGAGCTGTAAACACAGTATTTGAGTCAAAGCTGACATTATTGTCTTGCAAACGCCCAACTCTGAGCTAAACTTATTTTGTTCTGATCTATRTGTTTTGAATAAACACAAGATTGATTGCTTCGAAAAAAGAAGAAGACTCAAAGCTAAATATGGCTGAGAAATCTGTTGGCTTAGCACCAATAAATCAAACTGATGTGAGAGGGGTGAGGTATTTTATTTTATTGGCCTCTTAAACTACATTTTATTATGTGGATTACAATCACCAGAAGGGTGTACAGTTCTGCAGACTAAATCTCAGAATGTGAGGGTCAGCGAGGGTAAGAGAACTCACTGAATGTCATGATAGAAAATAACAACTCCCTTATAACTGGAAGCAACTGCTTTTCATGGATCTGTTGGAATTTGCTCTTTGGATTGTGGCTGCTCAGTGTGAATTGCTGTGCTTGAGTGACTTCAAGTGTGCAGTGTGTCCCCCAGTCCCTTCTCTGGTGTATGATATTACTGTACATCAGGGTCCAAAATTTGGACAACTTCCCTGTTGCTTTTGTTTGTTTGTTTATTTGTCCCCCACTCCCATTCTCTGTGTATAAACTTGGTTGAATATATCATAATATAAATTTCAGAAAGAATGAATTAAGTGCATGGGTTGGTTTTTTAGAAGAGTTTTTTAAGCATTTAAGAGCTTGGTTCCCAATTTGAAATGAGGCATCAAAAATGCCCAAGAAGATCTGAGCCTTCAGGACTTACGGAATGCTAGAAGAGAAACTGATATTCTCGGTCAGCTCCGTGTAGATTTTTTTAAACCTCTTTATCATCAYACTAAATTTTGTTGTCAAGCCTTAGGGACAAGCAAAAACCAGCCTTAAATTACCTGGACCCCTTTCCAGGTTAGAATGAGTGAATCTGTTGGCAGGACCATGCAAACAGYATGGCCAGGGCTGGTTATCTGTCCTTAGGCTTTAATTTTAATCAGGAGCTGAAGGCTTTGGTTAAAAAGCAGATTTGCCAAAATGGGCTTGTTTTACAGCCAGAATGACAGCGCTGGGACAGTGCTCTGTGTCTGCTTAATGAATCAGGGTGGACTGATCGGTGCTCATCTCATTAATGTGATGCCAGACAAGAATGGTAGAGCGATGGGACAAAGAATTTCATTAGATGGCAGAGAGATGCAACAAAATGGGCTGGTTCAGTCCAGCAGATCAACAGAACTTGATTTAAAATCCGGCACAGACAGAGCTTTTAAGGGCAGCTGGCAAATAATTGTTGTTTATGATCCAAATGGAAGGAAGTTGATTAATTTACAGACTGCTCACTGTTATTTATGGGGTGACATTAGTGTTGCATCATGGTGCCTGTGTGTGGCCTGTGAGTAAAATGTCATGTTCTGTCCTMCTGTGACGTGATGGTGCAGTCACTAGATCAGGACTGCCCCAGCCAGATAGCTGAGGTGACAATAAAATGTCTTGGTTGGTGGCAGGATGGTGTGAGTGCACGTGTGTCTGTGAGCCTCACCTCCAACCCCTCCTCCGCAGGAAATCAAAGGAGTAAAATCGTAGTTACTTCAAGCTTTSCCATTAATTATATTTTTCTCATTACAAATCGGTGTGTAATTTGAATTGCAAACTCAACTATCCTGGCAGAATAGATCTGTTTACCATTCAAAGCAAAATGAAAATTATTTAAATTAGTTAATATAGAACTCATTTGAATGAATTGGATGTTTATTCATGAACTAGCTGAGGCAAGTGTGAAGCTGTCCTTATGGTCTGCAGCTTTGGCACTGATCAGCTCTAATGTCACGTCCTGGGACAGAGATTTCTTCTTTATTGCATATTAACTGTGGTGTAAGCAGTGGGTAACTACTGCCTGATGTAGCTGAGTGTGAAATTTTCAGCCCTCCTGACAAGGCCCTTCAGCAATTGTAATTCAGATGAGGAAGGACAACCTGTTCTGAGTTCACTGGCAGGGCTGTGGTGGTRTAGGAGGCTTTGTTTCCTGCCATGTAAGGCAGGATATATAGAATTTCCATATATATATTTTTTTTATTTTTTTTCCCCATCAGTTAGTTAGAATTTYCCCATTTTATCAGCCTGCATGGGAACAGGGACAACATTTATCCCCTCCTGTGTCTTACCCAAACATTGTCTTCCTCCTCAGCAAAGTGCAGTTGAACATCCTTCATTCCTTGGAGATGTTCTACCCATTGAACACTAAAAATTTAAGCCTAACTAAACTTTCCTAACTAGTAAAATGAAAAAAAGGTGTCTCTCCTCCTTTAGCCTGCTCRTTTCCATGTGCTGTTTTCCTCTGCTGGTGACAGTTGAGTCCACGGACACATCCACCATCGGGTGCAGGAGCGGCGTGGAGAACCTGACAAGTGTAGCAGCTAAATTATTCATTGTGAAAGAGCAGGGACACCCTGTGATTGGCACCCGGGGGCTTTTTGTGCAGATTGCAGATTCACAGCTGAGCCAACAGAGCCCAGTCCCTCCTGGCACTGCTTTAATGCATCCTGGGATGAGCTAAAGCCACCGGACGATGGGGTTGTTGTTGTTGTGTGTGTACATTTGTAATTTTGGTGTCTCTGCTGTGATGCTGTTGACAGATGGAAATTCAAACAGGGCTTTTCTGTGAGCTGGAGGCTGCTTGCTGTGCACATGGGGAGTTTGGGGATGGAAGGAAACACAGCAGGGAGGGAACCAGGTCTATATTTTGATTTTGCAGTGGACTGGTGCGGGTGGGAAAACCTCTGAACGCTGGCTGTGCCCGGGCTTGGTGGCCAAGATGATCAATCACACCTTGATCCTGTGTGGGAAAACAGCATTTCCTTCTCTGTTGCATCAATACAAGGAGGATTAAAGCTCAAAAACCTCATCTAGGGTGAAATAACTTTCATAGTGCTGAGCTTTATAGAGTTTAATCATCAAATGTATGTGGACAGCATTTTGTGTGCTCAGGCTTTCTGTGAAGGCAAACACCAAAATTTGTCACTATTTGCTCCAGGTTTTCGTGCTTCTCRGGGGTGAGATAAACTCCTATCCCAGATCTAGGCAAAGAAAGGAAATTTCACTGTGATTCCAAATGCTGGATCACATTCTGGGCAGGCTGTGATTGAAAAGGGAGATAAAACTTCAGCCACAGCAAACTGGGTTGCCTTCAAATGACAACTTGCTGCTTTTTTTTTTTTTTGTTTGTTTGGTTTTGTATATTACCTGAATCTTATCACATAGCAAAATCCTGCTCTTGAAGGTCACTGATGTAAAGGAGGGGAGAAGTGGATCTGTTTGAATGTGTCACATTTACATCATGATGGTTCTGAATGGCCAGAAGATGGTCTGCTGTGCTGCAGTTGTGGATTTGGTGTTGTTCCAAGGTACACAGAAGGCTTTTTTGGAGGGTCCCAGCTCAGACTGGTGGTGGTGTGACCCATACTTGGCTTTCAGCATCATTATTGGAGGTCTCTCATGGCTGCAAAGCTTTTCCATGGGGTCTTGAAAGAGGAACACAGACCACAGAGATRTTTCTGACAATGGATGAGGGCATCCAGAGCTTCCCCTGCAGAAAACACAATAAATATTGTTGTTTCCTTAAATGAAGCCATCTTTCTCTTGGTAACCTCATCCCAGAGAAAGKAAAAATTAAACTGTGCCTGCAGGTCTGTGATTACAGCTCAGGTAGGGTGATTAGATGGGCAGGATGGACTTCTCCTTTTATTTTTGCCAGGAGTTGGCTCATCTCCACCAATCCACCTGACATGAGTTTGCTTTTCTGCTGATATGGAGAGCAGATCTAGCCCTGGTTTAGCTCCTTCACCTGAAATATTGCTTCCTGAGAGCTTGAGGCTGGAGAAAATAAGTAGGCATTCACTGAGCTTATGCTGTTTTACATCAGCTAAAGAACTGGGCCCTCGAGCCAAGTAAAATGAAACTCGGAAATCTTCTTTGGCAGGTTGCACTGTCAAAGACTGTGGATGTTTCTAAAGCAGTATACAGGGCTGTTTTTTAAAATCTCTGCCCAATCTTTATCCTATTACTCTGTCAAAACCGAGTTTAGACTAACCTAATGTAAAT